AAATCTCGCCAAGCAGACTTTATTGGCGACAACATACAATATACAAAAATAAAAAATGTTAACAAATGTTAGTTCTAAGAATTTTTATTTTGAAGGCATAAACATTTTAATATCGTTTAAAGTTTTGTAAAAAGACAATAAATTTGTAAAAAGACGTTAATTTAAGAATTTACTGTGCTTTCATGGTTCAAAATCCTGATTCACCGGTTCATATCACTTGACCCCAAGTGATTTCATCTCACGTAAACTACATTGCAAAAATCTTATTCTCTCAGTAATTACCTACATTAATTTCAAGTTAAATTTTAATTTGGAATACATCTTTAAATGCAAGAATTATTTCAATTCGTACGAATAGCTTACTCAGAAATTATGTAAAACCGCAGTGCTTTACTTCGCTAATGCAATCTCATTAGAATTGACGAATTTAACCTTTGACGAATTTAATTTCTGACTTTTCTATGTTTTCGCCTTCGGGTGAGCGGTGTGATTGCATCCTAATTCACTTAATTACCGCGAATGGCCTTAGGGCATAAAAATTTAAAATATCTGGTTTAAAATTTCTATGTATGCCAGTATTGAAAGAAACGTCAATCTCATAAGAAATGGCTGCGACTTATTTTGAAAGTGAGGCGTAAAAGGTTACCAGCGAGGATATTCTGTTTGGCATCAATTGTACCATTACTGGCGACTTTATCGCCTGCGCCGGCAAAACGGAAAAGTACCAATTGCTGATAATTCTAAAAATATTGCACACAGATTTACTAAAGGCATAAAATCCTTAACCGGAAGATAAAAACAATATAATTCAATCATTTTTAAAGAAAAAAATGTTCAATTTACAAACATATAAGAGTAAATAAACTGAGATCACTGAGCCGGGTAATAGAGTGGATATATATATAAATATATTTATATACGTTTGGTGCGGCCGACTGCAACCAAAATACGAGGTGCACATCTACATGTTATAGCAGTCCTATATACAAAATTTCAACGTTCTGAGGCTACTCGTTTTTGAGTTATGCGAGATACGTATGTACGCACGTACGTACATACGTTCGTACAGACGCCACGAAAAATTCTCTTCAGAATTAATTTTAAAGCAGTTTTATAGTTTTTTTGAAGGAAAAGAGTCTTTTATTTTGTCCTTACGTACAGATATCACGCAGAAACATCCTTAAATTGCTTTCGATAGCGGTCAAAATGGATATTTTCGTTGAAATATGCTGCCTGAAACTTTTCGCGATTACAATACTTCCATTTTACTTCGTACAAGGAAGTAAAATTAATAGCGCCATAGGAAACTTGAAAGAAAAGCCGAAAAAGCGAGACAAAAGGTTCAGACGATCGGTCAAGGACGATAATGGAAAAGCCGAATAGGCTATTGGTCCGGTTACAGCGATTAATAGGAACACCGGTCGGTAATGTGTTAACCTGATCGAGTATCTGGAGTGTGGCTATACCTGTGTCACTATGACAAGGTTACACGAATCCATCAGACGCAAATGCCCTGGCATGTTGAGTGATGGTGTCGTCCTCCTGCATGACAACGCCCGGCCTCATACTACTTGTCAAACTCAAGATTGTTGCAGAAGTGAGAAGTCTGGAGTCACCTCCCATATAGCCTAGATTTAACACCCAATGACTATTTCCTCTTTCCAAAACTGAAGGAACATTTATCTAGAATGGGGTTGGTTCTCTTCGGACTGTCATGTTAAAACAGCTACCGAAAACTGGCTCAATGGGTAGAGACATGATTTTTACCAAGCCGGGTTAAGCAAGTTGGTTTTGCGTTCACATAAATGCCCAAACAGATTTAGTGATCATGGGAGTGAAATGATAGAGCAGTATGCTTCTTAATTCCCTTTCGTATTTTCCATGTATTGTAAATAAACAATTTTTTATTACCCCCTATAACCTTTCTTTTTTTGGATCCACCAGCGTATTTATTACTAGTTCTTATATTTACTGCGTTCACTTCTGCGGAAATTATATCTAACCATTTAAATACTAATTTACATAAATATGAATTATTAATAACTGCATTAAAGCCTGTCGAATACGAAGAGAACTGCTAATATGCTAAACCTCTTATGCGGAATCTGCGCAGTCCCGTTGCTACCATTCAAAAGGAATTCTACCGTAACTGAAAGTAGCAAAATTGACTGCACGCATTTGATTTAAAATTCAGCATAGGTTCATTAAACAAAACTGTCTATTCACGTTATGAATAGCACAGTTTTAAGTCATCCCATGAAAGCACTTTGTAATAAGGAATTATCTCATATACTATTAATGTTCTTTGATATTTACACCTGATTCTTTAAAGTTATTATATACAGTAAAGACACTTTTTCTTCCGAAGGTAGGTATCTAATTAAAAATGGAAAAAATAGGCTCTATGACTTCAATCTATGTTACAGAAACTTCCTATATTGCCATGGATAATAGTGTCGTAAAACTTTTACAATTTATCAATATATTTATTACTTTTAAACAGCAATTTTTATCCCCGCCCAAAAAAAGCAAATATTTAAATTACCTTTTGCCAAATGCTAAAACAACGAATCCACAATTTAGAATAGTAAGATTTATCACTATTTTAATACAGATGAATACGAAAACCATGTAACATTGCACGCTACATAGCTTTATTTCCTCCTATGAAAAGTAGGTTAAAAATAAAGCAATTTTAGAATTCGAAAAATTGTCTTTTTAAAGCAAATAATTAAACAGAAAGTCCTAATTTTTCTCTATAATGGTCGTCGAATGACAATAGCACACACGGAGAAGATTTGTATAAGCCTTACGGCTAAAAATGAAAATAGGAAAAGTTTAAAGATACAGATGCTTGTTTCGAAACATGGTTAAAACTAATTTTTCCTGTTTATTTTAAATCGTGTTTCTGATATTTCAGCAACAGAGAAACTGGCAAATCTATAATTCGAGAATATGTTACACACAATTCCCATTTTCTGCGAATCAGCAATGGTATGTTATAGAATTACCGAGTTCAAAAAGCATAACATGCACTGATATCGTAGGCCGACTGTTTTTTACGCTATTGGTTAACGTGATCAAAATTATGAAACCGCGTCCATTTTCTTGTTTATTTGCACGATTGCAGCACAAGGTCAACCAAAGGTTAATGCTAGAACGGCTTAATTTAAAAACGGTAAACCAGTTCAGATTTATATAAGAGTGGATTGCCAATGATTTACGATAGCTGATGACGTCGCAGCTTCATTTACTCTACTAAAAATAGGGAAGAAAAGACAAACATAGTTTTCTGCGATTTATAGGAATTTTTTAAATTATATCTATAATAATTACAAAAATTCCATTGGAAAGATTTAACAAGATCACTGTCTTCATGTAATAAAGGCAAGTTTTATTTTGAAACATTTCATGGCAAGCTCTAACAGGAAATGACCTAAACGAAAATCAGCAGCCAGAAGTAAAGTAGAACAAACAAATATCTATACCTAACCCCAGTAGGACTTCAATTACCTGAATCCGCTTGGTCTTTTTAGGGCAGGCAAAATTAAACTTGCTGTTAATTTATTCACGCGTTTCAGATTTTTGGTTGAATTAAATAACATACAGAAATAATACATACCGTGAGCATTTTAAAAAAGTTGGTGAAAAACATGCAGACTGGTTTACAACGTTCCGTGAATAATTATGCTAGCAATATTGATGGAAAAGCAATTAATTAGTTTTAGGCGGATGTGTGTAAAAATGATTCCTTTATTTTTAGTTGAAATGGGATTGTCTTTTGAGCTGAAACAAAGCATAATTTTATTATTCAACTTGTGTTTTACAGTGTTTTGTATTTTGTTTAAAGAAAATAAATATAATTAATTGCATTATCTTGAAAAATAAAATTAGTACATATATATTGTTATATGTATGATTCCTACATATAATTATACAAAATGAATCGCCTAAAAAATGGATTTTTTAAAAAATTATCTCGATGAGTTAAGTGGTTTCAGGTGTCGACAACTGGAGTCCCAGAGTGATAGAAATCTAGTTACGATGGCAAGCGATCAACCTCCATCGTCCTCAGTAAACAATTTTTCATGGGGGGATTTTTCCTTCAAAAATTATATGCACACCGATTATTGAGGCGAAATAATGCACCAAAAATCACTGTATTTATATCGCCAGCTTTAAACTGAATTGAACAAAAAAATTTTTTTACCCACAGGATTTGACTTCATTAACGTCCGTTACCGTATTCTTCATAGTTGGGATGAAACTCGTGCATTATTTAAAACAGAAGTTGGGTAGATTGATCTGCCATTCGGTTTAAACTATGTAAAATAATGATAAATTAATTCAATCCTCTTTTTAATGAAATACTAAACTCAAACGAAGAAAACAGTTGTTGCCCGACTATCAGTAAATCACCATTGGTGACATTTTCAAACACGTGGTAATAAATTCATCACGGCTATCATTGAGAAAGAATGTCGGGATTAGCTCTAGTGTAAAATTGGGTGCCCTTTCGATTAGCGACAATTTTTTTCAAATTTTGGCGATGAAACCTCACTTCTGGTTACCATGACAGTTTTAACTTTGTTTCAGCTTCCTTGGACAAATTTAAGGCAGTGCGCAACGCCTAGTTTGTGCAATTCTAGGATGATTTTTTAAGTGAAAACAGATCGATGTATACATGGACGCAGAGTTTGTGCAATTTTTTGACTTCTTATTTTGGCTTTTGTGTGGCGGCCATCTTGAAATTGTGCGTTCCTGGCGTCGATTTAGGCGTCAAAAAAGAATCGCCAAAAAACAAGGAGCACCCAATTGCAAACTTTTACCGTAGGATTTTTCATTAAAATAAAATTTTGTAGCATATGAACAGAAATAAACGAAATCTCAAAAACATACATATACCTGAAACACCTAAAAATTTTAAATATTCTCTTGCATCTTTGATAAAAGGGCCAAATACTATGTCAGTAAAAGTAGTAGTGGGAAATATCTCTTACCTTAACAAGTTCACAATAATGGAGATTGAAAGAAACAGCTGAAATATGTATCATTTCGGAAGGAATGCCTGGCAGACGCAAAACTGAAGAAATGAGTATCAATTCCAAGTTCAATTTCAAGTAACCGCACAAAGAAAAAAAAGTAACCCCTCCAATTTTTTCAAACGTCACTAAAGAGTAACAAGATGCGGCTTCTAAAACTGGTTTGGATGTGGAAGGTCACTTCACCGCGTAATGAGAATAAAAACTGTAGAGGACTAGGGACGAAGCTTCGATATCTAACACTACAACCGCGAAAAAAACTAATTCGAAAGTGAAAACGTGGCGCTTTTGTTTCAAAACTCACGGGTTTTCTTTTTTTCTAACTTGGTCTGTCGAACATTGTTTTGCATTAGTCATTTCCCCACGCGGAAGGAAAAAGTCACGTGACTCAAAAGCAAGACCAATTTGGAACATCACTCTTTCGCGGGGAAAGTCGAGCGAAGTGCCCGCGTGAGCATACGGAGCCGTTCTTAACGTGAAGTTCTACATGTGATTGTTATCCTAGTTACTGCCGTTCTGTCACTGGTGCAGCAAGAATGGAATTAGACTACTTGGACGACGCACAGTGGCGTGCTTCTTGTAAGTACACAAATATGTAATGCTTATTTCAGTTACTTTTTCTGATCCGTATATTAACTTAAAATAGAGGGGGGAGGAAGTATTCAAAACGCACTTTGAAAAATATAGTCATAAATAAACGTTTTTTAATAACATAAAAGAATATGAAATTATTAAGTTGATACTTTAATGAAATAAAAAAATAAATTTCATTCAGTATTTCTTGCAAAGTTGTTTGCATGAGAGGGGGAGGAGAAATCTTTTTCTCTTTTTAATTTTTGTTTAATTAAAGGAATACTTAACTGGGTACAAAAACTAAGACTACTGATATACGATCTTTAAAAAAAAAAATAGCAGGGGGAATTTTGTATGTTTATAGAATATAAAAAAATTATTTTTTATAAATCTTAGTTTCTTTTAATGCATTATTTTCATTTTCTAGTTCGAGCATGAATATATTATGTAACTGCATCTAACACTCAGTTCTTTGTCTAAGAACTAATTATGCGGCCATGCTACTGATTCTTTGTGCAACAGCAATTATGGCTGATCTTTGGAATATGGCAACAGGTAGTTTGGCGACATTTTGGAGGCGATAAAGGTTACTACCTAGGACTTTGGGAATAATAATGTGAGAAGTACTCAGTTCCGATTACGCATTATTTTGTGTGAGGGAAATGAGAGATCATGAGATATGTCATGTGACATTAATGGACGAATCACTGTTCTTTAATCGGAAAAGGGGGTAAATTTGTAAAAATATCTGCTGTAACAACATTAGTTTCATTCTATGTTCTGTGAAACAGTGTTGTTTAATGTTTGGATCCCATGGCCCTATATAAAGTAAATCCGAAATTTTATTGGTTTATGTGTAATTGAAAAGGAATTGCTAATTGCGGATAAGTATGAATGTCCAACATGTGAGTATGAAATGAGATTGTGTGAAAGGAAGGATATTACAGATAAGTTTGAATGGCGGTGCAAGAAATCTGGTGAAATGGACATTTTGTGATCCGCCATGCACTCAAGATTCTGTAGAAGATTAGGTAAGTTAGTATTTTTAATTATTTGGGATATTATTTTATGCATTGTTCTAAATGTAAGGGGTAAATAAATTAATATGGTATTATTGGAAAATTGTTATTAGCAATGATTTAGTTTTAAAGTAATTAGGATTGTCAGCTAATTTTATTAATTTAATGTATGTGCTTATTTTATATTTAAGTAGTGTTTTTTAATTAAGACACAATAACAGCCGAATAAATACTAAATATAACGCTGATTTTGTTGTTTGACTTCTGAATTAGTTTTTTTTTTTTTATTTTTTAATTTTTAATGATCGTAATTTTGAGAGTTATATGTTTGTAGTATTTTGGAATATTTGAGTAAAGTAAATGTGCAGGAAAAATTTAAGTATTTGGAACCATTTTTTAATGTTTGCGTTAGAAAATTGGTAGGTGAGGTTTATAATAGATAATTTAGAGGGAAAAGTTTTGGATAAATTATTGATTTTATACGTGCAAAATGTTCATCCTTAGAAAGGGTATGTACTTTTTCGCGATCAGATAATTTTAATATGTCCTTTTACCGAATTTAAAGATTCAAAATTTCATTGCATTTTCGTGAAATTTTTCTAATTTGAGAAAAAAGCAGTGTACATGGATATATGAAGAGTGTGCCATGCCATTTTTGTGCAATTCTGGGATTTTTTTTAAGTAAAAATAAGTTGACGTGTACATGGTTTAATTATATTTTAATTAAATGATAGTTATTTTGTGAATTATACGTTTGTAGCAATTTGGTATACGTTTCAATGGAAGTAAACGTGCATGGAAATAATTTAAATATTTGAGACTAAGTATTTGTAACCATTTTTAATGTTTTGTTATAGATTCGTTGGTGACGTTTATAATAGATAATTTAGAGGTAAAAGTTTTTGGATATTTTATTTATATTATACGCGGAAATGTTCATCTTTAGATAGGGTATATAATTTTTCACGATCAGGTAATTTCATATACCGTATTAACGCGAATCTAATGCGCATCGTTTTTGGCCAAATGAAGTATTCGAAATTGGGGTGCGCATTAGATTCGTGTGCAAAGTTCGCCGATGACGTCAACAAATTTAAATCGTACAATGGATACTGTATTTCTCGACTACATTTACCATTACATTTATCGTGACACATTATTGCAGAGATACAGAAATATAAGATACAAGAAATGCTGCATTTCAAATTCATTGAATCGCAGTGAAGATGATGTGCTCTGGAATGCCGAGGATGATGATGATGTGATGAGGAAAGAAGAAAAGAATCTGCTTCTGACGAAGAGAGCTGCGAGGATTCCAGTGATGAAAACATTTGTGAATAAAGACGTTTACATTAATCACTGATTGTAAAACTGTTAGCTAATAGAAATGTTACGATTTATTTCATGTTCATATTTTACGATAGGTACCGTATATACGGTAGTGGTAATTAACAATGATTGTTTCACATAACAATAGCCCACTAATAGGTTAATTCTATGTTCTGCTACTTTATGTATAAATTCATTGTTGTATAAAATATGGTATCTAAATTTAAATAAAATTATCATACCATTGATTGATAATTTATATACAAATCCGTTTTTGTATAAAATAAGATTCAATAAATTCCTCATTCCATTAATGTGCATTACATTCGCCGACAAACAAATTTTTTATTATTTAAAGTTTTAAAATGGAGATGCGCATTACATTCGATGGCGCATTAGATTCGCATAAGTTTTTACTGAGTTTAAATATTCACAAAATATTGCTGCATTTTCGTGCAAATTTTTGTAATTTATGAGAAAATAGCAGTTTAGATGGATAAAGTCAAGAGTGTGTGCAATGCCATTTTTGTGCTATAACGTTGCGCGCCTCTAACTTGCACGCAACCAAGAGGTGACTGTGAAAGCTTGTATAAACCACAGAGTCTTATAAAGGGTTTAAGTCCCTTTTAATTCAACGTAATAAATTACAATGGCGTCCTCTTGACGCTTACAGACCGTGCCACTAGGCAGTCAAATAAAAATAAAACCTGAAAAGAAATTAAAGACATATTCTCATTCTAACTACGAGGCTCTCTCAAATAAACTAACTCACCGCGTTTTACAATACGGCTGCTAATTCAGCAGACTTGAAGCTCACTGGAACAATTGCAACTACTTCCCGCCAAGCACATAGGCCGCACGCGGGGTTCTTCTATTCTCGATTTCTACCTCCGCGCTCGCTAAGTAAGAATAACTCTCTCACCGAACTCGTTTCCTTCTATTTAAATCATACTACTTCCGCTGATAATTTGAATCCTTGCGCGTTCTACTCAAATTTACATATTCTGGCATTGGCAGTTCCAGGGGAAAGTAAGGCTTGACAGGAAAGATAGTTTAAACTTAAAATAAATATAAACCCTACATTTACTACCCTACATTACAGAATTTGGAAAACTTGGAAGCAGGTCCTACAAACGACCTGTTGTAAGTTTATCTAATTCTGAACTAACTGGCGAAAGCCTTGTTTACACAAAAAAAAAATCTTATGTAACAATTATATATTAAAATTCTGTTAGTCGTTACAAAGCTTTCTTCTTACAGCCACTTTTCCTGGACTTCATCAATCAATCTTGGTCTTTCCTTCCAGCATCTGGAAGGAATAAGTATCAGTATCTTTCTACATACATTATAATTACACTTTCTTGACACAATAAATTTTTTTTGTTTTAAACGATTCATTTTTCTTAGTTATTGCTTACTACTTCACATTCATTCAATTTTTCAAGCATTAATTTAACTTTACCCTGGCTCTCCACCATGTGTGGTGTCAAACGGGAATATTCGTGTTTTAGTCTTACAACACTTCCCCTAACCACCATGATTTGTTAGAATTCAACGACCAAATAGACACACCTTACTCGACATTCTACAACTCAATGAGCTACTTTAATATTTTTTAAAAATTCAATGTAGGTGGAGAACCCTACAAAACACATTCATTCTAAGCTTCCCCCTCATTCATCTTTAAACATGCAGGCTTTCGCTCTAAAGCATGACTTTACAGTTTAATACTTAAATTTTGAACTTCATTGCTTTTTAAGCATTCACTTTTAGCATCTACAATTTTATGCTTCTAGACTAAATTCTACTTTTACATAACATGCAAGTATTTACATACATTTACAAAAGTTTAATACATATGCTTTTTACAATTTACCATAAAAATGAATAAGAGAAAATAAATTTTTACTTTACTCATTCTTCGCCAAGCTGGCGGCACTGGAAACTAAAATTCTTATTAGTACAAGAATACGAAGTTATTTTATCTATCTCCGGCCAAATTTTGGCTTTAACATAACAGAAATAGTCTTTCGACCAACAGAAAATGCTTGTTTTTAGCTTTTACACTTAAAGAAAATAATACTTTTGCCTTAGCTAAATAAAGTAAAACAAAACTAAGTCTCAACCGAGACATATTGACTTTCGTCAAAACATAGAACTTCGTACCTATGCATAACATTTCGGAACAAAAGAGAAAAATATTTATAGA